CAGTGTAGACGCCCTTCCAGACGTTCTTGAAGGTGCCTGTTGCGAAGAGGTTCGCGAAGTCGACAGACGCGAGTGTGGAGTTGTTTAGGCGTGCATGGGACATCTTGCTGGACGTCCTGTGGTGTTGGGTGGGCCGTTGGAAGAAAAAAGCAAACGCGAGGGGTCTTGTAGTCCGGCAACTGTGACTAACACGCATTCCGGCCCGCAATGACATCCCGATTTGGGAACACTGTCATGAGAATGTCGTAATGCTCGTTGCGGCCTCGCCTTAGACTGGCAGCATGCACGAGCCATTCAGTGGGCATTTTATTTAGCTACACTATTCTAAGTATTGTAAAACAAATCATTCGGCCCGAAACTTCAAATTAACCGTTCTTTAAGCAAATGCTCGGCGATTCTTTGCATCCATTGAGATTATCCCCTTCTCTCTCTCTCCCCCTCCCTACTCATTCCCCAACGTCAAGTGACCCACGCGCAGTCTCAGCAAGCTCCTGCCGCACCGCCTTCATATGCCTCGAGGCTCAGATTCATTCCCACATCAATCAAATTATTCTCACTTAACCCAAACTTAACCCCCCGATCTCGATACCGAGCTGTGCAACAAATCCCTGATCGGGCAAGTGGAGGAAAAGAGCCCAGTCGCGTGAGTCCACAGCTCTGATTTTTGGAGCAACACGCGTACGTTCACCGTAGTCACCTATACTGCGGCCACGTAACTGCATTCTGACCTTTTTCTGCACTGGCACCCCTCCTTTATTTACTCATTCTTGCCCACCGTCTGCCAGTTTGCTTTCTCACACACTGCGTTCCGGGGCCCCGTCGGCAGACTGTGCCTGACATCGGCATCGGTCGTTCTACATTACATATCATGCGTACATACTTTTTCTCTCTGGACCGTCTCTCTCTCTGAATCGTCTCTGAAGCCGAAAAGCATACATACATCAATCAAGTACCACGGAGTCATCGACTCATCGTCTTATGTTCTGGTCTTTTTTTTTTTTTTACTTTACCTCGACTCTTTACTCTTTACTTTTATGTTTAGTAAAATGATCATGTCTTCCTTCGAATTCGTTTCGATGTTCCATCGTCGGAATGATGTCTTCGTGGATATTTTTTACAGGCGTGTTGATGAGTATTGGTTGTTGGTGCCTACGGCTTGCCGGGCTGAGCCGGGTTGGCTCAGGCTTCTCGGCTGCGACCTCCTGGAAGGCATCTGTTAAGTACTTTTTTCAGTGAGCGGCCGGACTGAGACAGTATCATAGGACCGAGAAAGAAGGCGGGTTCAGTGACAATTGGCGCAACTTCAAACCTGCCTCTGTACGTACGCTTGCTATACTCATTGTTTTGAACATACAAATAAATTGAACAATACTATCAACACAAACAACCAGTTATTTTTTGGGAGGGATATTCCACCTCAGTCGATCACACCAGCCGGCAACAAAACAACATAGTCAAGCGGTGCTGGTTCAACGCCGTTCGCCCGCCCTACAATTTTCAGCATATCGCCCTTCTTGATAGGCACCTGGTGGAACGTGATCCTCGTCGCCGAATGCCCGTCCAAATATATGGATGGTGTATGTCCGAGCTTCCCGATATCCACAATATTCCCAACCCACTCCCCAACCATCCGGTTATTCACGAAGACTTGATAACTGCTGTTGCCACCGTACATGTCAAAATAGCTAACAGCGAGGTCGTATACCCCAGAGGTAAAGTTGAGAACTTTTGTCGCCGTTCCGATTGTACTGTTGGTGCTTGTGATGATGGCAGTGGAACTGGACGCCGCCTCGAATGGGCTAACAACGTATGGTTGGTACCCGCTTAACTCCATGCTCTCCGCCTCGATCCGGAAAGGATGGTGGCCTACCCTCCTGGCATCATCAGGTATGCCCGAGATGGTGTTGTAGAAGTTGACGATAGCATCTCTCCACACAATCGAGTGACCAGCCTGGAAGACCTGTCTGAACAGCACATCCTCAAAACGTTCATCGTCAATCCTTCCTTTTAATGATTGCCACATCGTAACGAATTTCTGAGCAGTCTCGGCTCCTTCGTAATGCGCGTCATAGAAGTACTGGATGACCGTCTTCCCGGATTTCAGCTTTTGGGTATAGTTGACATGATGAAACCACAGGAGGAGATTGTCGGGCGTGGTCTCTATGTTTTCGTACATCGCAGCCACCTCTGGCGGGTACTGCCCTGAAAACCCCGTCCCATTCGACACCGTACGATCCATCCCAATGCCCGTATGATCTGCCCGAGTCCATTGACCCCAAACGGTATTATCCAGTGTCTGAGGATTAGGACCGAAATGCGTATAAAGGATATCATTCAGGGTCTGCTCCCCGAGGTTTCCGCTGTAATTCTCGTATGCAGGCCAAGAAGCCATCGACATTTGACTGATCGTGTTGATAACTGTCTTGTCAAGACCGAATGTGAGACGAGTCCAATCTCGCAGGATCTCCTCGGAATCGCTCGTCCAATCCCATGCTAGATGTCCATACGCGTATAGGTTCGACATGGCGAGATGACTTCCCAACCAGGTATCGTTGAGCCCGACGTTGACGACAGCTGCTGAGCCGCCAAGAGGTCGCTTAAACCGTTCGCCAGTGATAACATTCCGTACGAACGACGACTGGTTCTGGATTCGGAGGTCGAAATCCAAGATAGTCCTCCACAGCGGCGGAAGATACACAAGGTGGCACTGCTGACCCATATACTCCTGCGCAACTTGCAGCTCAATAGCCGCATTCGTTTTGAGGAGGTTGGCGAACAGCGGTGACGCAGGCTCTCGGACCTGGAAATCGATAGGACCATATTTGATCTGGATGATGACGTTGTCGTCGAATTGACCGTCTAGAGGTTGGAAAAAGCCGACGGCGGCATTGGCTCTGTCAGCTTTCCAGTCGCCTTCGTTTGGGAGTTGGTTGTATACGAAGGCGCGGTACATGACTATGCCGCCGAATGGCTTGATGGCTTTGGCGAAGAGGTTTGCACCGTCGGCGAGAGTACGGTTGTATACCAAAGGACCGGGAGTGCCTGATCACCATGGACATGAGCATAACACTGGGTGGAACAATGAACCATTCACCTTCACTGTCTGCTTTGACCAGATACCCTGCGAAATCTGGGATTCTGTCATAGATTTGCTTGGTGATATCATCCCAGAACGCAATGACCACAGGATCCAACGGGTCATAGGTACTGAGCTTCCCAAGTTCCATCGGAGACGCAAAGTTAAGAGACAATCCAAGCTGGATACCATATGGTCTAAACACGTCCGCAATTCTACCGACACCTTGGATGTTCTCTGGGTTGATAGTGGTGGAGTTTGCATTGACGTTGTTCACAACTACGGCATTAATTCGGATGGAGGACAACAGTCGGGCGTATTCCGAGGCACGAGTCAGGTCGGCTACGACATGTCCGTCTGCGAAGAAGATTGAGTTGCCAGCGAAGCCGCGGGTGATGCTTCCATCCATGTTGTCCCCTGGAAGAGGAGGTCGGCCTCAGCCTCAGCCGCCCCCATCAGAAAATTGGCGACTCACATGAGTTTATCCAACGAATTGGTGCAGCTGGGTTCGTCGCATATTCGACATTGGAGAAATTTCCCTGTGCCAGCATGGATAGGTACTCGAAAGCACCGTATAGAGCACCACGCTCGTTTTGTCCGAGAATCTGTACGGTGCTACCCTTGACATTAAGCCAGAATCCATCTTCTTCTAGCTTGTGTTTGACGGGACTGTTCCCAAAAGCCTTCTGAAACTGTGAAACGGTACCAACAACAGCTGAAGAGGTCTCTTTCCCAGTGTTGCGAACACTGAGTCGCTTGCCAAAAATTCCCTGGATACCTTTCTGCAGCTCTTGCCCTGCCGTATTGACAGGACTGTCTGTGCTGGAATTGAGAGCAATTATTGACGAAGGAAGTGGTGCGTTGTGTCCTTGAGGTAATGGTGCGTAACGCAGCCATGCGTTTCGGCCATTCTCCGCTGCGACAAGGCCGGTGAAGAGGAAGTAGTGGAGGAGTTTGAGCATCATAGTGGCGCGGTGGTCAGCTCACGGTGACATTAGGGGCAGTCAGAGTAGAAGATTATGGGCCGATTATGGTGCACGATTATGGACACGATTATTGCTGAATTAGCTCGTGGGATAATCGAAAAAAATCCATAATCGAGCTTAAATGCATAAACGGCTCTGGAGGCGTTTATGCTTCGATTCACCGATTTTTCCCGTCGATTATCATCGAAAAACGACGATAATCGAAGCATAATCGATCCCATAATCTTTCCCATAATCTGTCCATAATCTTCTACTCTGACTGCCCCTATTGGAGGGTTATATGTGTATTTGCCATTGTGCCGATGAGGCCCCGGGAAGCTCCCACCACGCTATTTTTGGCAGATTTTTGGCCTGATGCCGAGATGCCGGTTTAAGCCCTGATATTAACGAAAAAATTCTCGCCTGCGGGATGCAAAAACTTAGCCTGAAAAGCTTATGACCGGACAATGTTTGGCGACTTTTGGACTTAAAAAAGCTTATGAATTAATCCGCCGGGATCAAAAATATCAGGAAAAGCGCAGAGCAGGTAACGACCCAGTGGTGTAACGGTTAACATACTTGTAGTATTTGCGGGAAAGAAAGGTTCATCAGTAAAACATGGGTCCACTATATGCCACTACACAGCACTATGTAGTGGCCATAGTGCCATAGTGGCTGTAGTGCAGGTCTGGGTATGCATAGTGCTCCATAGTGGGGCTGCTCCACTATGGACCACTACACGGCACTACGTAGTGGGCCCCTGGTGCCCGTTCAAACAAAAGAAATCATGTTTTAATTCCACTACTGTTTCTTACTTACTTACAACTTCTTACTGTTTCTAAGTAACTAAGGAGTTCCTTTGTAAAGCAACTAATCTAATGAGGTTCTATTGTATCTAACTATCGAACGGCGGTAAACTACTAATGGTACAATACTTGAGCAAATTTTTTTAAATGCTGCAACTGCTGGGATTCGAACCGGCGACCTGTCAGGTAGGTTACATAATACAGTGATAACGCGCAAAACCAACTGCGCCACGCAGTCCATATAATACAATGAATTGCACTAGCATTTATGGAAGACTTCCGGTCCATTAATATAATTAGTACTGAGGCAATCATGATTCGTCGTGCAACCCAATTTGGGTTTCCGACACACTCTATAGCAGGTCAGTTCACTCATGAACAGAAAAATAACTTGAAAAAGCCAATCCTCAAATAAATGTTTGTGGTAGTTATGTTCTAATAGCGTTGTCTTCGGGTCAAAACCGGCAAACAGCAACCTTTAGTACCGGCAATTTTGCACACAAAAACTTAGGTGAAGACACATAGCCCTACATAGTCTCTCATGGGCCATTATGTAGTCCTATGTAGTCCCCTGGCACTATGTAGCACTATACAGTCCCTGACCACTATGTAGCACTATGGGTCACTATGGAGACAAGGCCGCACTACAGCCACTATGGGAAAAATCACGTTTTACTGATGTTTCTGCAGGTGATCCTTGTTCGATTCAGGGCTGGGTCAATTGGTTTTTTTTCTTTTCTTTCTTCCTCCTTAAGTTTCCTTTTGTTTAAAATGATAAATACTGTGCTTCAATGTTCAACCTTGGCCCTTGGTGCAGCAATGAAAGAGCCAGCGGTGGGACGGTCATCCCCTTGAAAGATATATCATGCGACGAAGTTCGGTAAAGAGACGCCCCCCCCCCGAGTCGTCCCACTCCTTCGCAAAAGTGATGTAGAATGCGGGGGAGCTATCGAGTATATAGGATTGTTTCGATTATTACAGGCCCGCACAAATTGAACGGCAGCCGCCGATGAGCGTCATTTCTACCGTGCCCTTCTGTTCGGGGTTGGTCGGCATCAGTACGGGTATCGTCTGGGCTCGACACACTTCCAATCAACCTTGTGTCGCTTACGGTCGGCGAGTTGTAGATGAGCTTTCGAAAAGGTTCCTGTAATATTGGGCAGTTATTTTCTGAGTCCATACACTTTATCAATTCGAGCTCCGTTGTTCACACGCACTGATTAGAGAACACTCCGAGCTAGTCCACAACAGCATTATATACCAGCGCCAAAAGTAATAGTTGACTAGCACCTAGGCACTAAGCTTCCACAGTAGGGACGTCCTCGTCCCCGACCCCAGCCACATCCAACGCAACGCAAAACCTTGATATCAAATGAAATACCCCAACAATCGCAGTCACCTCGACCATCTCCTTCACGCTCAGATGCTCCTTCAATCTATCAAACACGCTCTGTGGCACTTTGACGTGAATGCTCGAGGCGTCGCAGAAATCCAGCGCTGCGGCTAGAAGCGGAGGGAAGACGTCTCGACGAGAGGCCGCTGTGTTCATGGTGGTTGAGGTATTAGAGATGGCGGAGATTTGCACGGGAGTGAGGCCTGCGGCGCGGCCGAGGGGTTCGTGAATTTTCCTACATAGTTGCAGTTAGAATAGGAACATGTACAATTATGAGATGGAATATTCAGACATATATACCATTCGTAAAGACAGTTGTTCAAAGCGAGCACACGTAACGCCTATCCATCCGAAGGCAGTGGCACGAGCGGCTCAGTCAGTTCCCATCCCTATCATTAATTAGCGTGCAGCATGAGACTCACCAGCAGCTCCCTCAACGTATCTGAAATCTCTGTCTTCCCTCTGATTGCACCAACAAGCTCGTTATAACCTCTCGCTACTTCTGGTGCGTTCAATCTACATAATATTCATCAGAAATTCATCGTTGACTCCAGCCCTCAGGCAATCATAAGACGTATACTCACAGCATACCATCAATAGGTAGCAAGCCTTGCTCGCCACGGCGTGCACGGATTTGGTCTCCTACCTATGAATGCAAGCGTAATGTAAGCACCCCGGGAAGAACGGGATATTCGCATACCTCCGACTCCCCAGCGGCAGGATAAACGTACGGGATTCTGAGTATGTTGTGCGGTGCTTGCATAGCGGGGAATTGTTGGGCGAGGACGATTTGTTCTTCGCGGTCCATGATGGAGTTGTTTCTATGTCCCGGCGCGTGCACGTGCCACGTTCGGCTTAACCCCGGCGTTTCTGACTGGGGACGCGCGGGCTGACGAAGATAGTTTGATAATGCGCGAAGAACCAACGAAGAACGAAGGGTGTTGTCATTGAGGAGCGGCGACCGGGTCGAGCTGAGTCAGAAAAAAGGTGGTGACCTGTGCTGACCGCACCGTCGCACGTGCCGGGACATAACATCGCGTCTGCAGCTTCACCGCACCCCAACTCAAAATGTTGCCATCATGGACCGCGCAGAACAAAACGTCCTCAGCGAACAATTCGCCGCTATGCACAACCCCAAAGAGCTCATTATGCTCTGCAACGCCTTCGATGGGGCAGCGCACGCGCCATCACCTCCCGCCCCCGCGCAAAGGCCATCGCCAGCACGAGCTATGCCGTTGCTATTAGATGTGGCTCCACCGACGACGACTTGACATTGGCCGACAACCTCGCTGCCGTGCAGGGGATCATCGCCGCGGGGATCCGCGCGACGCCGAAGAAGCCCGTGACGATTGACTTGCAGGGTAGGTACGGGGATCAGTTAGCCCCGGCGGTCAAGGAGATTATCAAACTCGGCGCGGTGGGGTGCAACATTGAAGCTTTCGACCGCGGCACGAACGCGCTGTGGAGTGTTGACGAGGCTGCCGCGAGAGTCGCACCGGCCAAGAAGGTCGCAGCGAGACGCGGTGTGCCTGACTTTGTCGTCAACGCGCGCAGCGACGCCCTCTTCCAGGAAGCCGACGCGGGTATGGACTCCGTTATTAGGCGCGGCAAAGCGTACCTGGCTGCGGCGCACGACGACGGTCTGAGTTTGGGGCAGAGGGAGCTCGGAGCCAGCTCGGACTCGATTTTGACGTTCCAAATCATCGTACGGATGCCCAATGGATTCGAGCCTAGAAACGCTCCAACTGCTGGTATTAAGCAGGGCACGAATGATCGTCGTAATAGAATTCCATCCACACCGCAGCCGCGTCATTTACAAGTTGCCGAACCCAGAAGTCGATAAAGTTGAACATGTTTGCTTCCACTCAATGTATTCAATTCAATGCTCCCAAATTTGTTTAATCAAGTCCGCCCCTCTTTCCGCGACAGCATACGTCGCGGCCTGTGTATGCGCGGCCGGAACAATGGGCTGAGCTCTGTCAGTATTAAATACGCTCAAATTTAAAAGGACCTCGCACCATAACTGACGCGTCAATAATGCGCAAGCCCCGCATGCCCTTGACGAGCAAATCCGGGTCCACCACCCCATATCGCGCGCCGCGCGCCGACATACCAGCAGTACCGACGAGATGCGACCCAGAACTCGTCGCGCTGCGCAAAAACTGATCGAGCGCATCGTCCGTACTGTTCTCGAGGTTTGGAACCGGCGCAATGACGTAGTCCCGCCACGCTGGGGCGCGCATAAATCGCTGGGCGAATCTGACGGCCGCACGCGCAGCGAAGATGTCGTAGTCATCTTCGAGCAGTCCGAGATCTATCACCGGTGGGTCGAGCGGATCGCTGCTGTTGATTGTGACGGAACCGCCTGACCGAAAAATTCAGATTGAGTACATACTTCTGTGAGTCGAGCGTGTTGGACTCACGGCTGGCAGGCGATACCACAGACAGGCCGACGCCAATGCTTTCTGGCTCGTCAGGAGCGCCGACTGGCTGAATGCCGGCGCATTAGAAAGATATGTCTACTTCGTAGTGTGAGAGGACTCACACCCAATGTGAGCTCAACATGGGGGGCCCCAGGACCCGCCGACGGGTCTGCATGGCTCTTAAAGATGGGAGAATCAGGGTCTAACCGCACCCATGCAACATGCGTGACCCCCAGGCTCACAAACGGCCCCGTACGGGACCTGTTCCACTCCTCAAACGCCTCGTTGAACCGTGTCGCATTCTGAAGAATAGAGCCGACGGTTTGTGTCGAGTTCACGGTCCACCCGAGGCCGAAGATGGGGTGTTCCGACCCGTTCTTGCCTACGCTCGGTAGATCGAGCACAGTGCGGATTTTTAATGGATTTAAATCGCGGGCATCCCCGACGCCAGAGTGTAGCAAAATAGACGGCGTCCCTACGGAGCCGGCTGAAAGTACGATTTCTTTCTTGGCTTTGACGACAAACGGGGATCGTTCTGCGGGGAGTTAGCGATACACGTTATCATAGCAAGGTATACATAACCTGACCCTGGAAAAATTCCACCCCACCGAAGGATACTTTGCCCTGTGTTCTGCTGGGATCGACGAGCCGGGAGACCTGGGCATGCAGCAGAACATGCAGATTTTCACGCCGTCTAAATCTTGGGGCCAAATACGACGTCACGGAGCTGCTCCGTTCCCCGCCTCCTATGGTATTTTGCAACCAGCCTGAAAACAAATTTGAATTATTATAAGATCCACTGATTCATTTCCTCTATGATTATACACACCGACGCCGAGCGGCCGCCCCGAGTTCATGTCCAAATTGAAGGGGAACTCGTCGGGCAGCTCCTTCGTGACTTGCAGAACACGCTGCTCGTACTCTGTCCACGGGAATCCATTCAAACTGACGGACGTCATCCCACGCGTGCTGTGAACGGAAGGGTCGAATTGGCCGCGCGTGTCGTGTAGGTCGGCCGGTGGGGTCCACTTCTCATTCTGGTTTGAATTGTTAGAAATTGACAATCGACTTGCGGAGAAGATAATGAATGCTGCGTGCCTTGAGGAAGTACGGTAACATCTGGTCCCAAGACCACCCTTTGTCTCCCGTCAGCCTGGCGTAGCGGTCGAAATCATCCGCCGATCCTCGCGTGTAGGCCAGTGTGTCTAGTTTCTAGATCGTTAATTCGACGAAGGGCCGCAAAACAGCAAGCTTACTGTGAGAGCTGCAGCCCCCCAGAATGTGTGCTGATTTGATATTAATAGCCCTACCCCAATTTCTAAACACTCTGCGCACCTCTTGGGAACGGAATAACGCGGTTGTTCAACCCAGACTGCGGCGTGGTCGTATAATCTGGCTCAGATGAGCATTCGTCGAGTGGAAAAAAGCTAGGGAAACCGTACTCCACTCGTACATGTTGGGTCCTGGAAACATATTTACAGCGAAGAAGGGCACGATCGAGTCCAGCAGGCCCTCGTTCCTGATGAGGACATTCATTATTATACGCAGGATCGGTATGTAAGCAGCGAAGGATGCACGCACGAAATGCCTGCCTCTAACACCAAGACGGAGAAGTTTGGATTTTCAGTCAAGCGATTTGCGACGACGTTGCCAGCAGTTCCGCCTGAGATGTTAATATGTAAGAACACCTTGAGAGACAGGAGAGGGGAACGGTGCGTACCTCCAATAATTACGAAGTCATATTCTAGGCTGGGTAGCTGAGAGACGTGCTCGTAGATTTTGCACAGGCATGGGCTGAGGAGGGAAAGCGCAAGGAGCACCAGGGCGAGCATCCGTCGGACGGGGTCTTGGTGTTGGCTTGAATGGCTGCAATAATTGGCGTCATATAGGCCCCTTCAGTGGGGTTACATAACGGAGAATGCCAAGCCAGTTAAAGTCACAGGCTCCCGGGCCGTCCGAAGAACTCGCAGCGGTTTAGTGCCGCACACTACTATAGTAGTGCAGTATCGGAAACATACGGAAACTCGTCACATATCCGGAATGCCTCGAAATCCGATGACGAGTATCCAGAAGGTCATAGCTTCCGTTGTAGTTTGTCCGTTGTCCTCGGCAGATCCACTCTGGTTCAAAGTTAGAAAGTGTTACGGGAGTCTCCAAGAGAGAAGGAAGTCATTGCATCCGAAGTGCCGTTGACATCGTGAGATTGATGTCGGCAGATGCCGAGGAAACTGAACATTAATTCACTGCTCGCCAACCTCAAACTCTGGTGTTAGCATGCCCAGCTCATGCGACTCGGCCAGGAAGTCGAGGAGCCGTTCGCGGCCACACAGATCGGCTCTTCGGTGCGCGTCTGCAGTCTTGCGCGGCACCTGAGGGTTCTGCACCGGGCCAGAATACGCCGATGACTGCCAGCGTGCAGTGGTTCGAGTGGACACTGTAATAAATGATCGCATCTTCATTCATCATGGCCCATAATCTGCTGGGAGGGTCACTACAAGTTTATTATCTTTTTCTTCTTGAAAGAAATCTCTGATTCCAATTTGACTCTATTCAACATTGATTTACTGCAGGCAAGGACCCAGTGGTGTAATGGTAACACATAGTTTAATTGCAACATCTTGCTTATGTATATGATCCTTGTTCAATTCAGGGTTGGGTCGCTTTTTGTCTTTGTTTTTCTTCCAGACTGGAAATGAATTCAATTTCAACATCTTTGATTCACTATGGGCAGGGATCCAGTGGTGTAACAGTAACACACCTGTATCATTTAGTCCACCTCCGAAAGGTAAGCAGGAGTTCTCTGTTCAATTCAGGGCTGGGTCATTCTTTTCTTTTCTTTTTGAAAGAAATCTCAAATCTTCGGTTTGAAATTAACTTTGATCTAGAGTAGGTATGGACTTGGTGGTGTAATGGTAACATACCTACTTATATTCATCTGAAAATGCGTACTAAACAGGAGTTCTCTGTTCAACTCAGGGCTGGGTCATCATTTTATTTCATTTCGTTTTTCTTCCCGGAACAAATACTTGATCAACTTCAATTTCGATTTAAAGTAGGTAGTGGTCCGGTGGTGTAATGGTAACACACCTGAAACATATAAGATGCAGGGAAGCTAATAAGTAGGAGTTCCCTGTTCAACTCAGGGCTGGATCACTTTTTGTTTTTTTTTCTTTTTCTTCCGAGCCAGAAATGGATCCAAGTTCAAGTTTGATTTTCAGTGGATATGGACCCAGTAGTGTAATGGTTAACACACTTGCTCAGTGTATTGCTTCGATCCAATTTCTTATGTCGGTGATCCCTGTTCAAATCAGGGCTGAGTCATGCATTTTTATTGTGATTTTTATTTTTTTCTTCCGCAATTTGCTGCCAATTCAAGTTCCACTCTTTGTGGTAGGTAAGGACCCAGTAGTGTAACGGTAACACACTTACCACCAATTAGCCCTCCAAAATGTTTTCTGTCAGAAATCCCTGTTCAACTCAGGGCTGGGTCATTCTTTTCTTTTCTTTTCTTTTTGAAAAGAAATTTCAAATCTCCGGTTTAAAATCAACTTTTGATTTAAAGTAGGTACAGACCTGGTGGTGTAATGGTAACATACCTGCTCATATTTCCCATTGAAAGAAACTCAGTAAGCAGGAGTTCCCTGTTCAACTCAGGGTTGGGTCACACATTTTTATTTTTTCTTCCGCAATTAACTGTGCCAGTTTAAGTTCCACTCTTTGTGCCACATAAGGACCTAGTAGTGTAATGGTAACACACCTATTGCCATTACTCCCACCAGATGCTTTCTGTCGGAAATCTCTGTTCGAATCAGGGCTGGGTCACTGCTTTTTCTTTTTTTTTCTTTTTCTTCCGAGCCAGAAATGGATCCAAGTTCAACATTGGTTTATAAGGGAACAGACCCAGTGGTGTAATGGTTAACATGCCTTTGCTATTTGTAAATCCTTCCAGATGTCAGTAAATATGCAGGAGATCCCTGTTCGACTCGGGGTTGGGTCGTTATTTTTCATTTATTTTTTCATTTTCTTCCGAGCCAGAAATGGGTTGCATTTCGCATTGATTTAAGGCAAGTAAAAGACCCAGTGGTGTAATGGCTAACACACCTACTCATGGTATTTCCGCCATCCACTCATTATGTAGGTGATGTTCCAATCAGGGCTGGGTCGTTATTTTTGCTTCTTTTTTTTTGCATCTTCCAAGCTGTGAAACGTTGATCAGCAGTGTGATCAAGGCACGCGATCGTCAAGGATCGCTACTTGGATCACGATCTATCATGATACCGCGTCGTGGATCAATCCCCCGCAACGCTGATCCTGCGCGCGCGCGTGCCAAGCCTTTTGAATTTTGCCAAGCCTGCTGCGCGGCTACCGTGACATAAGCACGCAATACGCACGCGCACGCGGCGGGATTTCCGGAAGCGGGCAATGACTCGAAGGGTATCATTATGCCCATGCGACGTCACTCTCTCCGACTCCATCGAGTCATAGCCCCAGCCAGGGCAGCGAGTCGACGTGTTTTGATTTGGCAGCAGCTCCACCTCCAACGGCGCCTAAACGCCTTTTGGGCTGAATAATATTTTTTATTATTTTAATTTTAATTAGGTACAGTGCAATGAATGGATGGATGCAATGAATGAATGAATGCAGAACTTCCGCTAATGAATGAATGCGTCTTCTGATAATGAATGAATGCGTCTTCTGCTAATGAATGAGGCCTTTCCAAATGCGTACAATCCAGCAATGAATTCCCAAATCCCGAATTGAATGAATTAGAGTACACCACGGACCGACGGATACACTGTAAAGGGCGGAGAGGAGAGGAGAGAGGAGAGGTGAATACAGGGAGGGTGTACAGAGGGGGGTAGGTAGGGTAAGATGCCATGCGATACGATACATAAGATACAGAGGGACGTGCGATGGATGTATAGCGGAAGCACACGAGTGGTGCTCACTAGGAGCGGCGGTTGTAAGGAGGGACAGCGACACCGACAAAGGGCAGGAGCAACGCTCACGAGCGGCGCCGCACGCCGCGCTCACGAGAAGGACCCGTGGATGAGGGCATCCCACGCGCCGTTCTTGCTCTTGAGCGAGTCCATGAACTTTGCGCGCTGGGCGGCGGAGGGCACGATGGGAGGCTCGTGCTCCTGTTGCTGCTCCTGCGTGAGATACGGCGCGGCGACGACACGATGGGGAAGACGGACCTGGTGTGGTGCCTCCGCGCTGGCCCCATCACCATCACCACCACTACTGCTACTTGACTCGGGTGGTGCGCTGAGCGGGGAGGGCGGGTGGTGGTGAGACGTGGGGGTGGAGTGGGGCGCGGGCGGTGGGGGCGCGGAGTGGGAGTGGGAGTGGGAGTGGGAATGGGGTATGGGGGCGTAGTGATGCGGGAGGTGGGAGGGGCTCGCGGTGCCGGACGACGAGCGGGACGAGTCGAGGGACGAGCCCGAGGACGAGCGCGGGTTCATTAGTGGGCGTTTCTAAGTGGGTGTCAGTGTATGTAGGGAGAGCAGGAGGGATGAAAAGACGGACGGGTGCGAGGATGGAGCCAAGCGCCTGCATGAGGGCGTCGCGGTGCAGTACGTGCGCGTTGGCGTGCGGGTGGTGCTGTGCGGCGGGGTGCACCGCGTGTGGTGGGTGCAGCTCGGCGGGCTGTGGCTGGACCTGTGTGGGCTAAAGGGTCGTGTCACACAAAGTACACAAAGACCATACACGACTCACCATGGCGCAGGCTAGGAGGCTCGACGCAGGGCGGAGCAGGGCGTGTATACAGTAAACACACGCTGGCAGGAGAAAAGAGGCAAGACAAGCACACTCCCCCGGATCAGGCCAGATTGGCGGATTCCCCCGCACTTTCCCACGGAGTCAGTTGATACACAATCGGACCTCGGTCCGCATGCACGTTGGCGCGGAGCACGTTGTGGCGGATAAATCCTCTCGCGCCGTGTTCGGAGGAATACGCGGTGTCCCACGCCCGGGGCGGAGAATCGTCGCACCTCCGGAAAGCTTGAGGCGCCACCGCAGTTCGTATTTAGAGCTGCGGATCGCTCAAACTGAACGCGCACCGGGGAAATAAATCCAGAAAAGGTAAAAAAAATCAAAATATGACCCAACCCTGATTCGAACAAGGATCTCCTACATAATTGTATGGAAATTACAGATACTATGCAGGCATGTTACCATTTCACCACTGGGTCCTCTGAACCCATCTTACAATTCACTAGTTCTGAACAAGGAAGAAACAAAAGTAAAAACAGACCCAGCCATTTAGATTTCATTTATCGCGCCCAAAATTCAGTAGGCGTGTTGACTATTCCACCACTTCATATACATTGGCTACAATTCGAGGTTTGAATATAAATGCAGATCCGAAGATGGATGAAATAAAAAGTAAAGCAAGGCAAAGGCAAAATGACCCAGCCCTGAATTGAACAGGGAACTCCCGCAGAAACACTGGCAATTGCAGTTTGTGCAGGCATGATACCACTTCACCACTGGATCCTTGACTTCCAGGTCTGATGTCAAACTTTATTTGCAACGGGGAGGAATGAAATGAATGAAAGTAAAGTAAAATAAATGACCCAACCCTGATTTGAACAGAGATCTCCCGCAGAAATGCTGATGACCATGCATATTGTGCAGATGCAACACCATTATACCACTGGATCTTCATGTCTAACAACTCCAAGTTGGATATCAACACTTATTTTGAACAAGGAAAAAAGAAGGAAGGAAATTGAACCAAAAGCTGATCCAGCCCTGAGTTGAACAGGGAGCTCCCGCAGAACTTTACTATCAATTGCGGAATATTGTGCAGGCATGATACCACTTCACCACTGGATCCTTGCCTTCAAGATCCAATGTCAAATTTTATTTGCAACGGGGAGGAATGAATGAAAGTAAAGTAAAACAAATTACCCAGCCCTGATTTGAACAGGGATCTCCCACAGAATATTTCCAAGATTTACTGACATATTGTGCAGGCATGGTACCATTCCACCACTGGGTCCTTGTTCAACTTCAGATGGCAGCCCATATTCCGAACAAGAATAGAAAAATTAAATTTAAAAAAAAAAGTAATGATCCAGCCCTAAATTGAACAGGGAACTCCCGCAAACATGATACTATATCCTGGATACTGTGCAGGCATGTTACCACTCCACCACTGGACCCCTACTCCTCATATGATACCAAGGCTTATTTTGAGCGAAAAAAAGGGAAAGGAACAGATAATGATAATAACCCAGCTCTGAATCAAACAGGGATCTCGCTTTTTGTCTCAAGAAATATGAGCAGGTGTGTTAACCATACCACCACTAGATCCTTATTTCTTGTATTCAAGGCTTGATACAGAGCAGAAATGAACAAAAGTGAAACAAAAGGAAAACCCAGCCCTGAGTTGAACAGAGATCTCCCGCATATTGCTTTCAACATTTATTACATTGTCCCACTAGATAAACAGGGCCACAATTTGAGGTTGGATAGGAGCAAATCTTATCTGGATAAAAGTAAGAGCAAATGCCCCCTTTCCGTGTCAGTTTTTGTCGAGCCACTAGTAAGCAGCACATTAGGCCGCCCGCAGGCATAAAAACGGAATCCTGCTTCGCTATTAGCCAATATCAGAAACAGAAACAACATAGAGTTGAGCACATGGTAAGTTGAATATTTAAAACAATGCTTGTGTAGTCATTTAAATGTCAAGGCCCTCCGGGCATCCCTTGTACCTTCATGCCAAACACCAGAGCTACTTATATACTTATAGGACTTCGCATTATGCCCTCGAAGCATTCATGTTGCACTCTGAAATTGTCGGAAAACTGATCTCGCCTTCAACTCATTACTCGCCTTTTTAAACCCTTAACTGGTCTAAAACCGAATACAATACTGACACTCTTGACTCTTCTGTAAAAATTATCGGCATCCATTGACATCACATTAATAATGGACCAGATGTTGGGCCTCTGGCCGACCACCGGGCCCATCTGAATTAGAATCTTGCAGCGTGTGGTAGAGTCGGAGTCAAAACAGTGCACTGTTCCCCAGTGTCCAATCTTTTTTCTCTCTCACAGGCATCAGCTGCATAGTGGATTTCCATGCATATTTCTTAGACAATACATGTATCTAAACAATTTTGTAAGTAGATGCGGGGAAACGAAAGGCAGGCCTTTACCAAGGAGTTCATCATGTGAGGCATTGAACTTTCAGAGTTCAACTAGCTCCTGCAAAGGGTTGTCCGGAGAATAAGCTTTTTTCAGGCCGATTTCCTTGCAAGCTTTTTTAGGTCCAAAAATCGCCAAACCTTGTCCGGTCAATGCTTTTTCAGGTCAAATTTTGCACCCCGCGGGACGAGAAATCGGGACGATCCGTTGCTTAAATCGGCATCTCGACACCGCAAAAATCCTTGTCCGACATAAGCTTTTTGCAAGCCAAAATTCGGGTGATTTTACCGGACAGCCCTTGGCGGGAGCTTCCCAAGGCTGAATCTGAAGAGATATCGGCACTTGGCCACAAAACTCATTGGAATAAATACTACATGAACTTAAGAATGAATCAGCTAGCGATTTTACGGGGAAAGGAAGCAATCAAGCCTGTTAATTTCTGTAGTTGTTATTAAGGAACATCGGCCGTTGCCGGTACATCATATGATGGTACAAATTTCGAAACGCAGTGTTGGTAGCAACGGGAATAAAATCACCAGGAAAAGGCGACAATCCATTCTTTCGCACTCCGAGGGCGCTCTACTTCCTCTCCATTCCATTTTACAGTTCCTAGCTCTCCTCGTCTGAGCCACTTGCCGACAACTCCTTCAACCACCCCAGCAGCGCGTCGTGGAAGCGGTCCGGTGCCTGGATCTGCGGTGCGTGGCCCAAGTCCGGGAACTCGATGAGGTCGGCGTTGGGCATGGCGGCGGCAGCCTCCTTGCCAAGGACGTCGTAGTGGCCTAGCTTCGCCTGGACCTCGGGTGGGCTCCACTGCTTGCCGATGGCGGTGACGTCGCGCTGGCCGATGAGGAGCAGCGTGCGCGGCTGCAGGCGGCCGAAGTCGTGCACGACGGGCTGCGAGAGCACCATGTCGATGACGAGCCCCTGGTCGAAGGCGTAGGTGGCTGCGCGCGACCCGCCATAGATGTCCGCCAGCATGAACGCCCACACGTCGTACGCCGGCTGCCAGTCCCCTACGTAGTACGTCGACTGCTCGTACGCGCGGATCGTGGTGTAGTTGCTGGCGGCCTCGGACACTGTCAGGTTGTCCACGCTGTTGTACGGCACGCCCTTGGCCTCCCAGTCCTCCAGCCCGATCGGGTTCACCAGCGCCAGCGCCTCGACGTCGTCTGGGTACAGCAGGCCGTAGCGTATAGCCGTCATGCCGCCCATCGAGTGGCCGATCACGGTGGCGGGCCGCGCGTCCGCACCCAGCGCCGCCAACAGCCCCCGCGTGTTCGCCGCCAGCTGCTGCAGCGAGAACTGGTAGTGGGCGGGCTTGGTGGACTTGCAGAAGCCGACCTGGTCGGGCATGATGACGCGGTAGCCGCTGGCGACCAGGCGGCGCGCCGTCGCCTCCCACGTCGCCCCGCAGAAGTTCCTGCCGTGAAGCAGGACGGCGGTCTTGTTGTTCGGCGCGCCTGTCGGCGCCACGTCCATGAACGCCATCTCGACCGGCTGCAGCTGCGACGTGAACCGGTACAGCTGCACGGGAAATGGGTACGTGAAGTTGGACCCGTTCAGGTCACCTCCCCGGGGCGCCCGGACGATGGTTCCCGTGTTCGAGGCCGTGGACTGCGTCGCGGTGAAGACCAGTGAGAGCAGCGCGGAGATGAGCTTCATCATGATTTGCCGGGGATACTTTTATTTTGTGGTTTTATTCCCTCTGCTGCTCTTGTATTTCTCCTGGTTGATGCCTCTGTGACGGCTGTCTTGATTACACGCTCTCAGCTTTTTCGACTCCCACGACCGCGCAGAGCTATGTGCCATTTACAGCCACGGAGCTCCGCTAAAGCACCACCGGATCATGCTTCCTGACCTTGAACTGCGGCAAAGTGACTCGGCTTTGAGGCTTCTACGCCCCGCGGATTTATGAGATCATTTTTCATCAATTATTCTCAGTTCCACATGTAGAATCTGTAGAGTCAAGAAGCCTGGACACAGGCTTTTGCTTGTTTTCTGGGCAGAAGATTGGGTTTCGAGGCAATTTTCATTCAATTCTCCACTCTCAGCATCAAACTTCTTCCTGTCAAATCCAGAAGTGCAAGGCACGTACTCCGAACTCTTCCTTGGTGTTGCTCAACGGCACCCTGAGCCTGCGGCCGCACTCTCCGAGTCTGTGGGACTCTATGTTTGTAATTATGTTATGCAAATACCCAGCTTGCCATCCGATCAACTCCAAATATATATATATTAAATAAATAAATGAAATGCAGGCTGAATAGAAATTTATGAGAAGGCGAAGCTTGTTGCACTCCGCACCTGGAAGGGACAAGAGGTAAACCTGGAACTCACATTTTCGTCCCAAATATCGTCTCTGCTATACGAGATGGATGAGGCAAGAGCCCGGTCGCACGGGTGACCATAAAAGGGCATCGGCCTGGCCAGAATACTGGGACCCCCAAAGTGACAAAAAATATGTTAGGTCAAAAGAACTCTGACCCAGCCCCGAATTGAAGAGGGATCTCCTACAGAATATTATTCCACATTCCCTATATTGTGCAGGTGTGATACATCATACCGGTACCATTCCACCACCGGATTTTTATGTCCTACAATTTGAAGCTTGATATCACGGCTTATTTTGAACAAAGAAGGAGAGAATAAAAGTAAAGCAAACTATGACCTAGCCTTGATTCGAACAGGGATTCCCTCCATGCATTCCGGCATCGCCACTAGAGGCAGTAGGTGTGGTAACCATTCGACCACTTGTATGTTCTACAATTCGAGGTTGTATTGCATCAATTTAAATAGTGCAGTGCCTACTTAATTTCTGCACAAAGGAATAAATGAAAGTAAAACAAAACTATGATCCAGCCCCAAGTTGAACAGGGAACTCCTCCATACACTTCCACCACCAGATCTTTATGACTTATAATTTCAGCCTTGATATCAAGTCTTATTTTGAACAACGAAATAAGGAAATTGAACCAAAAAAGCTGACCCAGCCCCGAATCAAATAGGGATCTCCTGCAAAATCCACTCGAATTTCCCCACATCATGCAGGTGTGATACCATTTCACCGCTAGGTCTTCATGTCCGACAAGTTGTAGAAGAAAAATAATGATCCGGTCCTGAATCGAACAGGGATCTCTTGCATAATGTGTTTCAACTTCAATATATTGTGCAGGTGTGACACCATTCCACCACTGGATATATACGGTTTATAATCCGAGGCTCGATATACACGCTTATTTTGAACAAGGCAAACTTAAATGAAAGAAGGAAGGAAATCAAACCAAAAAATGACCCAGCCCGAATCGAACAGGAAACCCCCGCAGAATCTGCTTGACCCTACCCTATATTGTGCGGGCGTGATACCATTACACCGCTGGGTCTTCTATTAAAGTTAGGGTGTACTGGTATTACAATTGGTACATTACTATATTGATATATTCGCGAGCCGTTCATCGCAGCTCCAAACGTCCTCCTGCTGTGACGATAGCTGAAACATACCCCGCGCCTGCTCCCAGAAGGACCTCGCCTGCATGCGGTCTCCGCGCGCCATCCACACCACCCCCAGCCGGAACATACAGTCCCCCCGCGCCCTGTGGATGTCCATGTGCGTGTAACCCTCCAACGCCAGCGAAAACAGGGTATGCGCCGTCTGCTTGTCACCCTCCACAAGAAAAATATCCCCGAGCCTTCGGAGAGCGTCGTGTTTCCCTCGGAGGTCGTCCATGCGCCAGGACATCAGCAAGTGCACCACATAATATTCCGTCGCGGCGCCGATCTGGGAGCCGGAGTACGCGACGTCCCCGAGCATCTGCATGCAATCGTTCGTCCGTTCAGCGTCCTGTCCCTTTGTATGTTTGAGGCACTGATGTAGCAGCTCGCGCGCCTCCGTCAGCTCGCCCGCACGATACATCGCGTCTGCAGCCACGATATCGCACGCAACTGTCCACCGCAAGCTGTGCACCAATCCCCGTGCCACCCTCAGCGCCTCGAGTCCGTCGCTCGCACCCGTAGCCACCCGCACGGTCGCAATATTCAGGCGCGCCACCGCATAACTCGCGCGCGTCCCCTCCCGCCCCTCCGTCCACTCCACAATCTCCTCACAAATCTCCTCTACCCGCGCATACTCCGTCTTCCGTAGCCGGATCTCCACCTGCATCATCAGCGCATCCATGCCCTTCGTGGCCCGTTCGATCCCCAGCCCGCGCGCCAGCGCCCCGAGCTCCCCGCACAGCGCCAGCGCGCGCGGGTAGTTCCCCACCGTGACGTGGTGCGACGCGCGGTTGAGGATGCAGAGGAACTCCGTCTCGAGGTCGCCCGCAGCCGCCGCGTGCCCCTGCGCCTCGAGCGTGCACGCCCACGCCTGCCGCAGTTCGCCCCGTTGGTGGTGCAGCCCCGCCAGCCGCCGCAGCACCCGCGCCAGCAGGCCGTGGTCCCCCGCGCGCCTTGCGAGCCCCAGCGCGCGCGCGCACGCCTCGAACCCCTTTGTCGTATTCCCGTCGTGGATGCACACCATCGACAGGTCGATGTTCGCCATCGCTAGTGCGCCAAGTTCGACATCATCAACAACACTGACAAACACTGGTTGAAAACAAATCTCACCTTGCGCCGCGAGGTCGCCCACCGCCTCGAAGTGCTGCAGCGCCGTCTCAATGTGCGCCTTGACCGCTAAGTCGGGAAGTGCGCGGGAGAGCGCGAGGAAGTAGCGCCCGCGTACGCGCCTGTCCACGCACGCCTGCACCGCGCCGGCGATGCCGTGCAGCAGCTCGAATGAGCCCAGGTCCGTCACCTCCGTGAAGCGCGCCAGGTTGATCACGCACGTCAGCGTCTCCGTCGAGGGCGGCTCCGCGTCGGCCAGCGCGCGACGCAGCAGTGCGTGGATATTGCCCAGCTCCGCGGCGAGCATGGGCACGAGCCCGCTGTCCACCGTGCGCGCCCAGGTGCTACAGAAGAGGCTGACGAGGGCGTAGAAGAAGGTGCGCATACGTTCGAGCAGGGGCGATGCGGGTGGGTGGAACGCGAGCATGTGCTCGCGGATCGGGACGAGCGCCTTGAGGCGCCGGTCCTGGTCCACATACGCCAGGGACGTACGGCACAGTGTGACGCGGCAGAGCGGGATGTCCGCGATGGGCATGCCCCTCTGCGCGAGCGTCAGGTCAGTCACGCCGTCGGGGAGCACGGCAAGCAGGCTGAGCAGCGTGAGCGCGTCGGGGATCGCCGTCAGCCGAGGGCTGGCAAGGGATATCGCGATGGAGGTGCTCAGGTTCGAGCGTTTGCCGAAGCCTTCAGAGAGGACAGAGATGCCCTCGCAGCTCCAGCGATCGAGGACTGCCGCGGGCCCTTCGAATGAGACGAGACTGGCCATGAGTGTCACGGCTAGTGGGAGGTTGTCCGTGAAGCGCAGCAGTTCCTCGATCTGGCTGTCGTTTTCGACCGCATCGGTGATGTCGCAAAAGACTTTTCTGGCAGCCACGTCCGACAACGGGGGAAGCGGCCGGATGAACGGGCGCGTCCAGCGCACCTTTTCGGGCCGTTCTTCTCCCCTCATCGTGATCTGTTGACAATGCTTAATTCTATCATGATAAAAAGAAAACGAACGTACGATGAGGTACAGTTTATCGATCGAGGAGAGATGTGAGAGAAAATCCTCCACCGCCAGCCGACCGCCCCGTCCCTCCCAGGGCGTTTCCATGTTGTCCAGGACAACGACGGTGGATGTTTGCCGACCTGACAAATAGTCTAGAACAGCTTGCATAGGATTACCCTGCCCCTCCAGCACAAAGTGGCTTGATAGCGTGGTGGCAACATCGGCAGCCGATTGCGATGTCTCGCAAGAGATGAAATGGCGCTCAGAGCCGAATTTGGCGACGATATCGGGGTGATACAGGGCTGCGAGAGAGAGCGCGCTTTTCCCGACGCCTCCGGGCCCCAGAATTGCCACTCGGGCGGGATCGTCGTCCTGTAGGAGGCTGAACACAATCTGCTGCAACTGTGCGTCTCGTCCGTGGAATATTTTTGGGGACCCAGGAAGCAGCGATATGTCGCTGGGGCTACATGATTCGTATGGGTTAGTGGATGGAAAGATTGCAAGGACAAAATGGGTGACAACCTAGAGCGCAGTGTTCCCAGCTTGGAAAAGGTAATATCAGCATGCGGCTCATTTCAACGAAGATCAAATGTATGTACCGTAGAGGACGAGTCCCGAGCCATCGCAAGATGCAGAAGTTCTGTATGATTCTTTGACATGGAGGCGTCGATTTGAGCGAGCGTCGCCATTGTCGTGACTTCACATTGCAACTGAGGGTGGAAATTAAGATGACTTTAGCCCAACTTCAAGAGCCCGACGAACCTGGAACAGTCCTAGTGAATTTTCCAATGCCCCTTGACATTCAAGAAGCAGAGCGGAGTCTTCCAGATGCCGGACTACGCGCCGGATAAGACTACCGCGTGCCTGCCGACGCACAAATGACAGGACTTTTATAAGTGTACTGCAGCATATGAGCGAACATCGTGAGAGACGGTATCATCTGTTCACGTACTCGTAAAATGTTGCGATGTTGCGCAAAACGGACTGGGAGAGCTCGAATTTCGCGCTGTTGCATATGCTAGCGACGGTCGTAATGATTGTGCAGACCTGCTCGGCCATCCTGAGGCAGTCTACCTTATTTGTCCTCACGGCCTGCGAACGCCAATTTAAAAAAATGGGAAAGAAGGGGCAGAAAAAACCCACGATAAAGGTGTCCATGAGGAGTAGAGCTGCTCCCGCAATCTCTTCGACGTAGGGAATGTTCGTCGCTTCCGAAATGCTGCCAAGCAATTGTACCGCCATCTTCCCCTGCTGAGTAACAGAATCAGCATAAGAAGTGTGTTTGCTTCCTGCCATGTCGCGCGGTGTTGTCTGTCCAGGACGCATGCCCAGAGATTATATACTGAGCGTCAGAAGCGCCTCCAGAAGCGCCTCCATATAAATGTGAGTATTAACCAGTCAACCCGCATAACCAAAGCGCTAATCGGGGAGAGGACCACGGAGAGGACGTCGACGGCACCCAATTACTGACGACGATGCCGGGATGGCATGCGGTGCGCAGCGACAGTATGTTTGAAAGTATATTGCTGCAAGCCTGGTTGACGGTCGGATGGAGATGATCCTAACACCGAGTCAGAATTCATCCTACGTTTCGCGAAGGCGCTGCAGCGCCGTACTCGGATCTGTCAGTACAGAGGCGAAAAAATTTGCCGACCCGCGCTGGAGTCCGCTTCAAGGTCCTCGTCAGGGGGGAATATGCAGCCATGACGGCGTTGAATCATCTTAAACCCCGTTGGACCGGGATTTAACTGAGATTTTTAACACTGCGATGAGAGTGGGGGTGAAAGGCGGAGCTTAAAAATATTAATGATCCTGATAGCCGATTGCGATCGCCGATCGTTCGAAGTTAGCCCGGGAATAGAAAGATGCTCGTCCAAGTCAAGCTCAGAAACAGTGGTTTGGGGGAGTGATATCGATTAGTGCTGCGGAGATTGAGGATTCGATGATTTGAATGGTATAAACTGTGACGAGTTTACCCGAGCCACAGAGCAGAAAAGACACAATCTCCCGAGTCTCAAACCAAAGAATAATACGATCATGTAGAGTAGCAGGCGGCCCGTCATGATCATTACTAGTCTGTATTCCATTGGCACCGACCGCATTCTTACCCCCAAAAGAACAAGTCTCGACCATAGACCAACATCTCCCATTTTCTATGCACCGCCATGAGACGGAACAAGAATTTATTGAATGCTACATACCTTGAAATATATTTTTCGACTTCAACACGAACCATTGAAAATAAAGGCACCAAATTATCTTTCATTCTCAAATACATAGTTGCAAACAGTTGATACAGCAAGGCAGTCACGCTATTCTTCAACGGCATCATTACACAATCTGAGACGAGCGCCTCCTCGATTGAAGGACTCTCGTAATCGAGAAACAGATCGCGCCGCCAAACATGAGGGACTAAAGGAATCGATGAATATCGCAGATGGAAGAGCTGCATACGGTCTGACTTACAGCTGAAAATGCAACTGGGCGGATCCAAAAGAAACTAGTGGTGAGGAGAGCGCCTTGAATCGGCGCCGAGCCGAGCGAGCCGAAGCTACTCAGCGCCAATGCAAGCCCCGTTCGGGCACTAGAGCCGATGGTCAAGATTTACTCGAAGGGCACGAGGAATCACTTACCCCACTTCATCTGGGGTACGCGCCAATGAGGACAGGCAAGCAAATGCCAAGGCGAGCCCTGTACAGTTAAGTCATGGTTCCCAGTTACATACGAGAAGAAACGTACATGCGCCTGCAAAGCGTTAGTTTTTGAGTAAAAGAGAAGGCGTTGGCGCCCACCTGA